AACAATAACGTAAGTGACCAAAACTTTTTTTTTTAATTTGGTTAGAAAAAGTGTACAAATATGAAAGAGAATTGACCAGAACTTAATCCATGTATTATCTACGTAAAAATGATATAATTTTATTTTTATTTTTTTATCGTACCACGTTAGCAAACCGTTAAAGGTTTAACAGATGTTAACTTTCAGTGACCACATCTTAATTAAAATGAAACAAAAGTTGTCAAATATTATTTTTTTCATTCGATGAGAAAAAAATTATAAAACTAAAATGAAAGTGATTGATTATGTAATTTACAATATTTTATTCGATTTTATTGAAACTTGTTGCAGTAGTTGGATGAATTTCAAAAACAAATTATTTTTTAGCGTTAGAATATTTAATAAATATTTTAATATTTTTAATTTCAAATGTTCAAAAATTTCAAAAAATAACAGTTATAGGAGGAAATCCGTCATGTTGAAACAGCGAGTTTCATTGATTTAAAAAAAATTAAAATATTAATAATTTTTTTAATGATAAAAAATTACTTCTTTAATTCTTTTCTGAAATTAGTCCTGCGGAAACGATAAGTTCCAATAAAATTAAATAAAAAAATAGGTTTATGAAACTCAATATACTCACACTACAAATTTCAATTATTATATTTGATAAAATTCAGTATGTGCATACAACAAATTTCAAATACACGACAACAATTAAACTATGTCCCAAGTTAATTTCCCTACAGTTGCATTTCCTAAAATCGTTTTTCCATTTGGATTATTTCACTAAATTTACTTAATATTTAGTTTAGGTTTCATTTTATAATACTTGCCATTAAAAACTTAAAGTGATATTAATATGTCGCCATATAGTAATGCCACATCATCATTAAAAAAATTATAAAAAATATCACGTCAACAATTCTATTAAATTTGTTAATAACGAGATACCAAATTGAAACTTCAACTAAATGTTAGACATGATTGTTTTTTAAATAAAGTTCAGGTATCAAACTGAAAAAAGTAATAGTCTAGGCATTAAATGTTTAATTTACCCAATATTTTTAAAGACAATACAAAGGCAATTGGAATCTAAAAATTCGAAACAGAATGAATGTGTGTGTATATATATATCTGGGTGTTTCATTTTGCTATGTAATACAAGATGTTGGAAACCAAGACATACACCAAAATTTTCAAAATATATCATTGGTGGATAAACTTTGGGTACTTGAAGTTCTTGTGGAAGATGCTTCACCCAAAGAGTTTGGAAAGCAGCCTTGCATCGATTATTTATGTTAGGGGTTGTATTTATAAAATTTTAGTGGAAAATTATGTTATAAAATTTTAGTTGTGAAAATAAATTATCAATATAAAATATAAAATATAATAGAATTTAAAATATTCAGGGAGATGATTGTCCCGCACGCCTCCTTCGATCTATCCTTACACATTAGTATCACTGTAAATACAAAGATCATAATCGAAGTGAATTGAGATATGTAGTCCATAATTGATAGTGTGCTACAAGTATCAACGTAACCTCTTCACCATTTTAAAGTGAATCTTTCATCATATCATCTAAAAATTAGGAATCTTTTATAATAACATAAGTTAGACTTGAGTCGTATATAATATAACATAATTTTAGCTTGTCCGCACAAAAGAAAATTAGAATACGCTCATAACCAGAAATTATACAACGTAAAATTACATACATATGTCGTCACGCAGCTAAGATGATCTCTAAACCAACGTTGGAAACCTTTCGTAAACACCTCAAAACATTCATGTAACGTGCCATTTGCCTAAGCATATCAACTCTAATTATCATGCTTGATATACATAACTCTTTTCAAAATTCAAACAAGTAATGCATTTTCATCATATTCACCTCCTCAAACATGTCAATATATCCTCGAAACACTTAAGTAAACATGATCATATGCGGGGACCGATCTACATGGTGCATGGGAGGTGTAACATCCCAAATATCGGGTTAGTGACCACATTGTGAAATTTTAAAATTTTGTGACCAATATAGATAAATTGAAAATTTCAAGGACTTAATTGAAATATTTTATGTAGGATGGTTTAGCAAAGAAGAATTAAAAGGTCAAATGGGTCATTTGAGCATGGGAATAATTTAAATTTTGTTTTGGTTATTTTATAACCATGTGGAACATATTTGGGAAAGCAAAAAGTTTCCAGATATCTCTTCTTCTCCTGCCGTGAAGCCTCATAAGCTAAGGTGAGTTAGCTTTTATTTGGTTAATTCTCGAGAATTAGTTGTAGTTTTGATTGATGAAGCCTTAGGAAAGATTAGGGAGACAAAAAGAGATATACAAACTCAGAATGGTGAATTATGGATGATTGAAGGTATGAAGTTATTAAGTGAAAATTTGAATAAGAAGACTTAATTGAATTTAAAAGCTGGATTGACTTGTCATAGGTGTGAATAAGAAATAATAAGTGTTAGAACTAAGTTTGGATTATATGGAAAACTTAGTAAAATTCTTAGTTTCAAGAATTGGAATGAGAGTTTAAGTTTATAAGATGTTAAGATGATAAATGATAGTTAAAGTGGTTGTAGTGAGTTTGGTGGTATGAAAGGAGCTTTAAGGGTGGAAAATTAAGTAAAGGGTTGATGATTTTCGGGTGAAAGAAGTTTGTTCTGACTAAGGGGGTATCGGTACCAGACGAATAGGTATCGATACTACATGGCTATTATAGGTTATATTCTTATGTAGGTATCGATACTGCATGAACAGTATCGATACCATAAGACCAATTTAGACACACGTCCTCAAGGTATCGATACCATTAAACATCGAATCCAATTTGAGTATCGATACTCAAGTATAGTATCAGTAACATTGTAAAGGAAGTATTGGTACTATACCATGGGTATCGATACTACTCAATAAGGAAAAAGTGAATTATGTTCATCAAATAGCTTAAGTTATTAAGATCGAGTTATAATGTTAGGATTCTGGTAATTGTTTTAGAAATTATATTTATGTAGATATCGAGCACAAACGAGTTCCGGAACAATTGACGAATAAGAACGATCGAGGAAAAGACAAAGAGATATAGGTGAGTGCATATTTATAGAATGCTTATAATATGATATGGAAATTAGACTTGTGATAAGTCTAGTTCCAACACAGGTAATACATGATTGCATTTCATGATACGAAACATTATATGAACTTCTATGATATACGTTATATAACCATGATCTATGTGAATATGAATGAGAAGTTTACATAACTGATGTGATAAAAGGTAAGAAATTATATGTCTATGAGATATATACTATGTGAATGTGAAAAGCCCATGTTATGTAGATGAGAGCTATAGGTATAATTGGCATGCCAAGAGTCGAAGATGTATGTGGTCCTTCGTGACATATATGTAATCCTTTGGAACATATATGTGGTCTTTTGAGACACATATTTGGTCCTTTGGAATATGTATATGGTTCTTAAGGAGATTTATATGTGGCCCTTATGGACATTTTATATGGCACTCCGGTGCATTCTACATGGCACTCCGGTGCATTTCTACGCGGCACTCAGGTGTATTTCTACGTGGCACTTCGGTGCATTATACGAGCTGTGTTGACAACATTTGTGCACAACCTCAATGCACTCACATACCTTAGGTTCTCAGTATTGGATCATGGGCTAATCAAACTATTAATATGAATTCATAATTATTACTTTGATAAGCTTATGTGTGGAATGCATGGTTATCTAAGTTGCATTGAATGAATATTTGAATGCATTATACTCCATCTCATTATAGTATTATTGTAACACCCCCAACCCGTATCCGACCCGGATACTAGTCCTAGGTGTCACATTACCTTTTTAAAACACCTTTCTTACAAAATCATAACATTTGAACTTATATTAAGAAAATACGATAATATACATATATTAATACACTTTTACCAAAATACTCAGAGTATACACAACTTAACCCTTTTGTTACACGCCAACATCCATTTACATAACAAAATGACCTACTGATTAAGTTGCTTCTGATCTGATAGTTGCAGGAGTAATATTGTCCAGCTGCTTAACCTCGATCGTCTACTTTATCGGATCCTACGTGTGAAAACTCACACGCTAAGTCATCGACTTAGTGAGGCAATATAATAATAACAATAAAATATAAAGGAATTGCCAAAATGAGATGGGTTGCAATGATAATATGTATGTAAACAATGCAATAACCATAACCATGTTTCTTACCCATAGATTTATCAAATTCACATTAATAAATTCATTAGCCCATGATACCATATTGAGAACCTAAGGTATGTGAGTATTGTGAGGTTGTGCACTATGCTATCACCACAGCTCATATATTGAACCGAAGTGCCACGTAGAATTGCACCAGAGTGCCGCGTAGAATTGCACCGTAATGCCATATAATAATGTCCATAAGGACCACATATCATTCCTTAAGAATCATATACATATACTAGGGATCAAGTATGTGTCTCACAAGACTTCACACATGTTCCAAAGATATATATATATCCCGAAGGACGGCGTAGACCCTCTACCCTTGGCATGCCAACTATACCTCTAGTTCTCATCTACATAACATGGACTTTCACAATTCATATTTTGTATCACGTAGACATATTATTTTCCTACCTTTATCACATAGACATGTCATTTCCATACATTTATCACATAACTCATATAACTTTTTCCTACATATTCATGTCACATAATGCATATGGTATAAACTCTATCATGTTTCATAATATGGAATGTAATCATGTATCAAAATATTGAATCTAGACTTATCATAAGTCTAGAACTGATTATAATACTATATTCATGCTATGCATATGCACTCACCTAGATTCTTTGTCTTTCTCTCGATCAATCCTACTTGTCGATTGTTCCAGAACTCGTTTAGGCTCGATATCTACATAGTAATTCATTGATACTTATCAGTATACTAATTAGTATATTCTCAACTATCATTCTTAGGCTAAAAGAAAAGTCATTTTCATCTTTTAATGGAGGTATGTATCGATGCACTACACCATGCATCCATGCATAAATCATATTCGATGTTTGTATTTAATGGGGTGCATCGATGCACTCCTTATGCATCGATGTCATTCGATGTTTGTATTTTAAAAGAGTGCATCGATGTTGTATACATATACAGATTATAGATGTCACCCGAATTTCGAAAACCATTTCCAATTCAATTTGTGATTCAAAAATTTTTTTCTTAAAATGGTAAATGATATTATAAAATATCATATCATATAAATCATGTTTCGTTATAACGAATTTAATTCAAAAGATTTTTTTATTAATAGTGAACAGTGAACAGTGTACAATGAACAGTAGGGGAATCGGTACCCTTTTAACAATCTGAAAAATTTTCTTAAAACGTAGTTATGTTCATGCTACAGTAATTTCCGAAAATTATATATATAACTTATAAAAATTAACCTTTCATCACTATAAAATTTATCATTTTGTTTCCAAATTTATTCAACATAATAAATTGAATATTATTAATTACATGCCACTATCTATGTCAAAATTACACAATAGGATGTCTTACTGATATTGAATATACTCCTCGATGCTTTATGTCTCTTTGAACTCTTTATTCCACTATGACCTTTTTACCTACGCGTGAAAATCATCACACGCTAAGTATAAACTTAGTGAGGCAATTAAAACATTAAACAGTGCAATACAATTCATGCATGAATTTTCAATGTCCAAAATCCAAATGCCACGGAATCATTTATTTGCATAACCAATATTTACCATGATCAAAAATAATATAAAATCTCTTACCATTTATCCCATAAGCTCGTAAGCTTATTTATCCATATACTTGCCATTATTAATAAGCTCGTAAGCTTATTTTCATACTTACCATTTATTAACCAATAACCATAAACAATAGACAATAGCCCAATATTCAACCCTGAGGACCCTGGGTACACGAGTCAAATATAAGCACCGTAGTGCTAATCCGTATGACACATAAGGTCGTGTCCACCATCTGTACTAGGTATCCTTAAGTACAGTCTCGTATGGCACATAAGGTCGTACCCATATACACTAGGTATCCTTTAGTGTATTCCCGAATATGCAGCCTGTTGCTGGACTCTATGGCATGCCAACTATACTCTGTCCCTCAATGACTTACTTGGGCATACAGTCTATTTTATTTGATCCATCCATGGCAAAGTATATTATCAATATTTAACAATGGGGCAGTTCATACCCGAAATAACATTCATGGTAAAAATCATATATGTTCATGATAACATCATATGCAAAAATCAATGATCAATGCATTTTAATTTCATACTCTGACATATCAATGTCAAATTATAAAAATGATATAAAATAATGCTGATATAAACAAGGTCGACTTATCGCAAGTCTTCCTGATGATGTATAAAACATCCATGTATAATTTCATGCATGTATTGCACTCACCTTGACACTTTATAATTTTCCAAAATATGAGCCTCACTATTGTTCCACAATAAACCCTCTTGATTTGCTTCAATCGCAAATCAATCATAATTTGTATAATTCACAAATTCATAATGATATATATTAGTATTTTACTAACATATACATCCCACAATAACTCCATGCTATATTTGAAACTCATTCTCTATCAAAATACTTAACTCTTAATAATTCCTTTTAACTTTGGAACCAACTTTTCCAATTACCCAAAATGGTCTTCACCATTTTACCACTTAGATTCTTAATACCAATAATTCCAACATTAAAATTATTATCATTCAAATGCTTTTACAAAGCATAAATACATTTAAGTACCCCAACTATGCAATTGTTGTACTTAAATCACCAATCATTTCAATCTTCCCAAAATAATCAATTTCACATTCTAACACTCATTTTAATTCTCAAACAACAATTTCCAGCATAGTATATCAATTATCCAACACTTACACAGCAACCCATCAATTTTCCATATTCATATACTTCGCACTACCTTTAAAGAATCATTATTCTGTATTGATATACACCTGGAATTCAATTCCGTTTCTTCCATTGAAATCTAGACTCAAATACGAATCTATCCATATCAAAAACTCCTTCTAATTCATTCTGTACAATTTATGGTGAATTTTCAAAGTTAACCAACTGAATCTGTTTTGTACAGAATTCTGCTGTCCGATTTTCTGACATTTCTTCGGTTAAAAATTCATATCTATTTGTATACAACTTGAAATTGATCCCTTTATTTTAAACAAAACTAGATCCATATATGAACACAATATATAAAAATAACCTCCAAATTATTTTTATATATTTCTGGTGAATTTTCAAACCTATTGCCAGAATCAAAATCCAAACTGTTTTCTTTAACTTCATCCTTAGATTCTTCACAATTCTTACAAACTCAAAATCATCAATAATCATCATCAATTTCAAAAACCATAGTGTGAACCCAAATTTCCAGATTTGGGGATATTTGAAATCAAGTAAGATTATCATGCAATATTGGTACCAAATGATAGCGTTTTTCGCAAATAACCATTTTCTATTTCAGCATATTCAAAATCCTAAGGAAATTGCTTGAAATTTGAGTTGAAGCTTTGCTCTTACCTTTGAAGAAGCCCACGTTGGTTGGAGAAGAAGATAGCAAATTTAGATGAAATTTTGAGTGCATTTCATCTTTGTTTGAATTATATTCCATATAAATGAATATTCTTATTCACCATCAAACCAAGCCATCTGATTATTGACATATTAAAAAGTCAAATATGAATTATTTTGACTTTTATATCCGAAATTTCCCCTGAATTTTCAAATCTTGCGTTTTCATCACTAAATTCCACTGTTTCGGTTAAATCTGAAAAATTGCACATTTCCAAACCAAAATTCTCTGATCCAAAATATTACAATAATATTTCCAACCATTTTATAACATCCTTCAAATTTTTGTAAAATTCAAATTCGATCCGAATTACCAATTCCTTATCGAACTTTTACCCTTTATAGTTTTTCTTTACTAAACTTCCAAATCCAAAATATATAATTTCTATAAAACCCCACTCTCAAGAGTAAACCATCCATTTATGGAATAGAATTCTTTTTAGGAAATTTATCACTTAATTTCCTAAATAGTTTTCCAAGTTTATACTTTGACCATCAAACTTCCAAAATTTACATTTTGGTCATTATCTAAATTTTTTGGGTATTACAGATGCACTTCATGTGCATCGGTACACCTTGAACAATTTTTAGGATTATCCTTGATGCATCGGTGCACATTGAATGTGCATTAATGCACATAGCCCAGAAATGTCATTTTAAGCACGAAAACTCTTTATAATCTTCTCTACACTTTATATTTCACCTCCTTTTTATATCCTAACTTGCATACTCTTACTTAAACTAATTATTATCCATTTCATACCTCTAAAACTTAGAAATCCAATTCTCCAAGTAGAATTTAAGAATCTAACCCAAATTCCAACATGTTCTAATTTGAATTCTAACACCTCATACTTCTTAGTTAGCTTTATGACAAGTCAAATCCCACTTCTAATTCTTATTATGAACTCTAATCCAAGATTTCACTTTTCTACTTCCTTTCTTTAATTCTCCATATACTTCTCATCTTATGGTTTTAAGATAATCTAAGCTTTCCTTAAGCTTAGTTATCATCTAAGGATCAATAAGAAATCTTAATTTCATCAAGAATTTGATCAACAAAAAAACTCACCTTTAGCTTGGTCTCACGATGGAGAAGAAGAAGAGAAATCTAGAAACTTTTGTTCTCTCCATTTGCCTTCCACGTGGATTTAAATATCATAATCTAATATTTAATTATTTCTCCTATAAAAGACTCATTTACCCCTTTAGTTCCTCCTTCTTTGTTAATTAATCCTACACAAAACATTCCCATTAAATCTTTCAACTATTCAATTTATCTACTTTGGTCACTAAATTTTGAAATTTCACAATTTGATCACTAACCCGGTATGGAGGATGTTACAAATCGCCCTCCCTTAAGAAAATTTGTCCTCAAATTTTCATTGTACGAACAGATGAGGATATTGAAATCGCATATCTTCTTCACGTTCCCACGTGGCTTCTTCTACTTTGTGATTCCTCCAGAGAACTTTGACCAATGGAACAGCTTTATTCCTCAACTGTTTTACTTCATAATCCAATATTCTCACTGGCTTTTCTTCATATGTCAGATCCGATTGGACTTCTACTTGTTCTGGTGCAACGATATGAGAGGGATCAGACCTATATCTTCGTAACATGGACGCATGGAAGACATTATGGATCTTCTCCATTTCCGGTGGCAATGATAACTGATATGACACGGGTCCTATTCTCTTAACAACTTCATATGGCCCAATGAATCTAGGACTTAACTTTCCTTTCCGACCAAAACGTAATATTTTCTTCCAGGGGGATACTTTAAGGAAAACTTTATCTCCAACCTCGAATTCAATCTCTTTCTTTTAAGATCAGAATAGGACTTTTGCCGATCAGAGGCTACTTTGAGGTTATGCTGAATTTCTCAAACTTTCTTTTCTACATCTTGAATTAAATCCGGACCAAGAATACTTCGATCTTTGAGTTCATACCAATTTAATGGAGTACGACATTTCCTCCCATATAATGCCTCGTATGGGGCCATCTTTATACCGGACTGATAATTATTGTTGTAAGCAAACTCTGCCAGCGGTAAATACTTTTCCCTTGATCCTTTGAATTCCATTACGCATGCTCTCAACATATCTTCCAAGATCTGAATAGTTCTTTCTTATTTCCCGTCAGTCTGAGGATGAAAAGTCGTACTAAAGTTTAAACGCGTTCCTAACGCTCCATGTAAAGATTTCCAGAATCTAGAAGTGAATCGAGGGTCTCGATCAGAGACTATGGAAACAGGCACTCCATGCAATCTAATATTCTCTAATATACAACTCAGCGTACTTTTCCATAGAGAAATCTGTTCT